AGCATCCCAGACACAGACTGGACTGAAAGTTAATGAATGCATCAATGTATGAAGAATATGAAACAAAACAGATATGGACTGAAATCCCACCACATTCTATCATTTTCCATCCTGTCTTATAAGGCAATCCATCCCATTTTTTTGATAGCTCCAATTGTTGGGAAATACTTCCTTAAAATGAACTGAAATCTTTATTCTAATGGCTTTCACCCAGTGATCCTAGTCTGTCAGGCTGGGCTGGGCTGTAATAACTGGGACTGTACTGTGGCTGAGGGCTAGAGGAGATGATCTCTGAGATTCCTGGCAAGTCTGCAGTTCTCTCATTTTATGCCCATTTGGTTTAAAACTCTATCCCAAGTCTTCTATTATTTTTGCCCTTCTTGTTCTGAATTCCCTGTCTAACCTATCACTAAGAAACAGCAATATGGTCCTTTGAAAACACTGAAGGCCATGTGAATGACAGCACCAAGTACATTCAAAATGATAAACTAACATTCTCATCACATTCTTTTCTGAGCAAGCCTACCTATACAGAGACAGACAGACAGGGAAACAGACAAATTTTCAAAAGATCTTTGGAAGGTTCTGCATCAAAATCTACTAAAAACAGCTGAGGGATCATAGGATAAGAATACAGAAAGAACAATTTGTCAGGAATAGGGAATTGTTCTACAGCAGGGTTCCAAATTTACTTTGAACTCAGGGAATGAATGATTGTCTCAGCTTTCAGGGATTTCAATAAAAGGCTAAGGGGATGTGGGGAACAAGGAAGCAGCATGTCTTCAATGGTTTCCAACCTAAGATTGTGGCCCAAATTACAGAAGTCAAAGCTCTACAGAAAGATCTTGGAAAATCTCAAAATGAAACCAAGCAATTTGTCCTGAGTACGTCAGGTAAGAACATTGGGAGAGTCTCCATTCTACCCGTTCTCTCCTTTCCTATGCTCCTATATAAAGCACACAGAGCCCAAACTCGTTAGAGGATGTATGGTGATAAATGAAGTTATAACAGGGACCACAGACATCTCTACTGCAAGTGATACCATCTAGTGGCACAAATCACTATTGGGGGAGAGAGGAATGGAAGCTGACAAAAGATGATAGAACTACCACATGACCCCAATAGATCTGTATCCATGTTGGAATTCTTTCTAATAGTATAAATGGCAACTCATCCATGCCTTTCATTCTTTGTGATTTTTGCCAAAGGTTTTCCACAACTCTTTCACAAGGGATCTATTAGTAGACATGCTGAAAGCCATTTTCCGGGTCTTCATATCTTTTTTTTTATTTATTTAAGGCAATTGGGGTTAAGTGACTTGCCCAAGGTCACAGAGCTAGTAAATGTCAAGTCTTTGGTCTGAGGCCACATTTGAACTCAGGTCCTCCTGACTTCAGGGCTGGTGCTCTACCCACTGCTAGCTGTCCTGACTTCATATCTTTTAAAGGTACTATTATAGCACTCAGGCTTCCCATCTGTTATCACTAAATCAAGCCACATGATGAAGCTTTTTCAATCATATATTTCTTCACAGAAATTTGTAATACCACCTCTTGCATACAGCTGATCAATGGAAATATGCTGCATCTTTATTTATACTCTCCACGTATCTCTCCGTTGGCCTTTTATTAACCTTACAACTTTAATTACACAGAAATTATGCTGTTTCAAGATAGGTAAGTAGTTACCTAACCACCTTTCAAATTTTTGCTCCAATGTGAGCATTCTAATCATCTAAATTATCTAAATCTTCTAAATCTTCTAATTATCAAAATCTTGCCCATCCTTCAAGACCCAGCCCAAGAACTTCCACCACCATGCAAGACCTTCATGGTCCACAATGGCATTCCCTCTTTCTGGATTTCCCCAATACAACACATTTTTTACACTTAATTCTATTATAATCATTTCATGTGTCATAGTTTAGTCTTCCAAGGTAGACTATGAATTCCATGCAAATGGAGACCATGTATTATTTTTGTTTTGCACCTTCTGAAACCTAGCCCATAGCACGGGACATTTAAAATAGTTACTCAAACAGCAGCTGATCTAATTGGTTGGGAATGAATGAAAAATTAATCACTCAAAAGAGGATTTTAACTATTGCACAATGTAAAGCAGGATTCTCCAAAATGTTTTCTAATACTATTAAGGAACAAATACATAGTCCCAGTTAATTAAATAACACAAATTACATATTTACAACATCATGGCAGATAATCTTAAATAAAAACCTAAACTATCAAAAATTGTCCCTATTCTTTGGAGAACTAAAGAAGGGGAGAATGGAATAATCATTTATCAAGTGCCTACTAGTTGCCAGGCATTGTACTAAGTGTTTTACAAATATTATGTCATTCCAACTTCACAACAACTCAGGAAGATTAGTGCTATTATTATCCCCATTTAAAAGCTGAGGGAACTGAAGCAAGTATAGGCAAAGTGACTTGCCCAGGATCACACAGCTAGTAAATAACTGAGGTCAAATTTGAACTCGTGTCCTTGACTCTAGGCCCAGCAGTCTAGTCACCAAAATTCCTACCTGCCTAATGCAAGCCATTACCTCAAGTACAACATAGTAGTAAACAATTTAAAGTGCTATCTTAGATAAGCCAACAAATATTTTTCATGAAATGTTAGGGCACATTTTTCACATTACTGTACATTAATACATGTTAACTTAGAGGAAAAAAAAACATTAAGTCACATCTTCACCAAGACTTAATTCTAATATATAAAATTGGTCCAATTTATACTAAAAGGACAACAGAAAAAAGTAGGGGCCAGCATTGACATTTTAAACCAGCAGCTGATCTCACAAGCTATTTGACATCCAGGAACAGGGCTCATTTCAAGGAGAAGAAAAGAACCAGAAGGAAAGCTGTCTCCCCTAAATAGAGTCCTTGGGGGATACAACATTAAATTCATAGTCTGTTCCCAACTTTCCTCTGAAACTTCTTTCTAAACTTTCTTTACCCAATGGTTCTTGTGCACTAGGAGCAAAGTACCTGCATTAGAAGAATCCAGCACTAACTGGAGAGAAGGCCTATTTGCTTGGTTGGCTGAAACATCAGTAAACGAATGATCACAAATTTCAGTCGAACTTTCACAATCGAGAAGATGTTTTTGACCTTTTTCAGAATCCCTCAGAATCTCTTCCATTGCCTTCTCTAACTGTTCATCTCCATTGGAGACTATCTGTAAGTTAAAAAAAAGTGCAGCAATAAATTTTAAACTTGTCTACAGACTTAGAGTTATATAAAGATAAAATGCAATATGTTTGTTGATTAATGCTTGCTACATCCAAGACATAAATCAAAACATTTTATAGCTTGAAACAAACAAATTAAAGCAATCATATATTACAAAGAGAATACAAACTATACCTAATTTTACATAAATCTCACATCAAACATTTTTAAAAAATGAGAGGGTGCTCATTCTCTTGTGGTTTCACCATGAAATTATAGGGATATAATTTCCTCTACTGCATTTAAAAAGTGATTCAATTTACAAAAACTGAATATATACAATTTAAAGAACACAACTATTCCATAATTTTTGTATGAAACAGAGAAAAAATGCAGTGAAGTTCAAGCAAACACTCATTTGTGACTATCTTCAATCAAAACTTATTCTTTACACAAATTTTATCTCTTACTAACAATGGTTTAACTTAATAAGGAAAGCTCTTGATGTCCTATTGATTTCTTAAATGACTTGACTGAGGCCATTTTAAACCCTATATAAATTAAGGAAAAAAGCATTTAATTATGCAGTTAAGATTACAATAAGTACAACATGTACTCAGCAAAGGCATATCTTATAAATAACCTAACCAACCTTGTTTTTCAGTAACAACTTTTTGTTGTTTTAGACCTATGATTTCAATGTAGGAACTCCCTCTACCAATTCACAGATCCTCCAAGGCAGAGAGGTAAACTGCCTGTAATTTCCAGCCTTAGAGAGTTGCCTGGGGCACTGAGAGGCTAAATTATTTACCCATGTTAACATAGCTAGTATATGGAATGAGTAGGACATTGTCCTAATTCCAAGGCCAGTTCATTATATCTCAATGCCTCTCAATAATACTGATAATATGGAATAACCAAATTCCTTTAGGAAAACTCCATTCTGACATCATTTGGCCAATGTAACTTTGTTCCACCTCACTCCCATCATTCCATTTCAGCCAGACATGCTTTCAGAGAAATAATGACATGAGGCAGAGTATATGCCTGTACAATTAAAATTAGAAAAAGATGCATCAAAATCACTACCAAAATATTAAATCATTATATTTTCATTTAATTAATAAAGTATTATTCCTTTGAAGGTAAAGTCAATATTTAATAACTTTCACCTGCTTTCCATTCAAATACTATATTTTTACCATAAATGTCTGACTTGCTCCTAAAGCTTGCACAATTCTATCATCCAAAACAGAGCAACACAACTCAAGAATGAATTGGAAATGTAATAAACAGCACCACCAAAACTTTTTACTCCTACAACATTTTTCAACACACTCATGGCACTCAACTCACTTTTTAATCTCAATTTCTAGACATCAGTCAGTCAACAAACATTTACTAAGTGAAATGTGGTTGAATTATTACATTGTTCTCATGTGTCTGAACACTTGGATTGTTACTATTGTGTTACTTTTTGTCACTGAAAATGTACAAGAAACAGAATAATCTCCACATAAGTACTCTCAGATACTAAAAATACTGCCAAATAGGTACATCCAAATCACAGCAACTGTAACAGGACCAATACACCAAAAGGTTTGCTTAAGATACAACATTAAAATCAAAAAGAAAGCAAAATCCCACAAATCCAAAAATAAAACATACACTGTACTACTACTTGCTCAACTATCCTGTGTACTAAGAGTAAGGGAGAGACAGACGGACAGCATAAATGAACAGAAACATGGGAAATCCAATAACCCCCTTAGGAGCCAACTAAGAAAAAGTTTCAACTACTTCCCCATGCATCTTACCCTTTGCAGCTGTTATTTGGCAGTTCAAAATCCAAAAGGCAAAAAAGATAACCTGGCAAAAAAAAAATCAGCTTCGGGGTAAATATATGTTAACTAGAGTCTTCTGAACACATCAACAGTGGGGGGGGGGAACCTGATTCCATATATTTACTTAGAACCCATTCAAATGTTAAAAACATAAAATAAATAAATGGAAGCAATTTGAGGAAAAGATAATATACCTTAAGTTGAGGTTTTTCATCATCTTTTGTAGAGGTATCATCTGCTTGCTGAGGTACCAAAACAAATTCTTCACTGTTTAGTGTGGTCATAGAATCAGATGACCCACTAACCTTCTGTAAGGAAGCTCTAACCTCCATTTCAGGACTGCAGAATTCTCTTGTCACATTCACCTAGCCAAAACTACAAAGAGAAAAAAAAAATACTGCCAGTTAAAACATTTAAAAAGTGTTTAAATAACCCTTAGTCATTAAAAAAAAAAAACTTCATATAAACAGGAATCCTGCTGGCTAGATAATTAACTTGAGGCTACTCAGTCTGCCTGTTCAAATTGAGCTACGTACAAAGGAAATGTATTCTTTTCACCCTGAGTCTCCAGACTGCCAGAATCATATTGTTTTCTGAAAAACAACACGAACCCCACCCAAATGCAAATTAAATAGACTGTGTAAATTATTTCAATATCACTAAACTTTCAGTAGAAATATTGGTTCTTCTTTTTAATAACAGGTAAAAAGGAATAACTGGAAGGGGGAAAAGAGGTCAGAATCAAGGAAAAAAAAAACCCTGAAAGAATTTTATTAACTGAATCTGCATGTTTCAGATAACATTCCTCCTCTAGTACAAGTGTTTCTTGGGCCACAAAGTGATTTTTCTAGGTCAAAGAAGTTTTTTTTTTAACTTAAGGTAAAATCACCACCACTTCAAGCTTTGTTTCTTTCCCAGACACTCCACTAATTATATAAACAAACAAAAAGCTCTCAAATGACAATCATATAAAATACCAAGTTTCAGCCATTGTGCATTTGTATCCGCAAAATGTACAGTATTTTGTCAGGGAAGAAGTTGAAATTGCACAGTCTAGTGAGCTTGCCATCCTTTTGCTGGGGGCAGGGGAAGAGGACAAGGGTAGAAATATAATCATCATTTCCTCTACACTTTGTTGTGTACCTTATTTGTATATCACTGTACCTCCCTCCTTTCCTTCCCCGACCTGCCCCCAGAAGAATGTAAGTGCCATGGGGGCACTCTATCATGCAGATATATTGGCCTACCTACGGTTTCTTGAACATAATACTTCATCTCCTATCTCCCTATCTTTAAAATGTCCACCATGACTGGCATGCTCTGCCCCATCACCACTGTCTCTCTTAGTTTCCCTGGCTTCTTCTAACAAGAAATCAACTCAAAACCCACCTTCTACAGGGTTTTTTTTTTCCTAGGTTCCTCCAACTCTTAATGACCTTCCCTTTCAGATTACATTCATCTGTATTATATCTTCTATTTACCCAGTTATTTACATGTTTTCTTCATTAGAATGCAATGCTCCTTGGTGGAAGGGGCTGTGTTTTGCCTTTCTTCATATGCCCACCACTTAACGCAGTGCCTGGTACATAGTAAGCACTTAATAAATACTTGGTGATTGTCTGACTGAGATAGCACCCAGCTGTTCTTGATGAATGTATATCCTGGACCAATTTAAACTATACTCTTGAGTACTCAAACAACTTGAAGATTCTGACTGCTTAGCCATTATCAATGATCTGTAAAAGATAATCGTATCCACAGGAGGTGCTTCAGGACTAGGGAAGGACAAGGGTTGTTCCAACTTTCAAGGAAAGTAAAAGCATAGAGTTTGCAAACTACAGACCAAAATCTGACAAATTCTTGATAAAATTCTAGAATATATTATTAAAGGAATGACTCGTGATTATCTAGAAAAGGAAGCAATTACCACAAAGAGCCAAAATGGCATCATCAAAATCATGTGATGCCAGACCAATCTTATTTTGTTCTTTGACAAAGTTATTAAACCACAATGTATAGAGAGGGAGGGAGGCAAAGAAGAAAGGAAAAAAGGGAGGAAGGGAAGGAAGAGAGGATCATGGGGAAGAAAAGAGAAGGAAATTACAAGTGTAGAGTCAGAAGGTACATAAATGAAAGAAGTTCCTATAGTTAATCAGGATAGGGGAGAATGACCAATGGTCAAAGTAAAATTCTATAGCTGTTGAAGAGGTACAAAGTGTTATACTTTAAAAGACCCATGATTTTATTTAGCATGGTTATGGCAGACAATCTTTGCATAACATACCAGAGCCTTTGCTTTGTTGACAATCAACAATTTAAGCACCAATTTAGCAACAATGTGCTAGACACTGTGCTAGGCTTGAGACCCCAGACATCACTTCCAAGCCATGTCAAGACAGTTGAGTAGGGCTTTCATAAGGACATAAAAGGGCTAGAAATGAAAATCAACTAAGATAATTTTTTTTTGTTTTTTTTTTTGGTGAGGCAATTGGGGTTAAGTGACTTGCCCAGGGTCACACAGCAAGTGAGAATATTTTTCAAAAAATAAAAATCATCATTAAAAAGCCAAATATTCACCTCAACAATCTACTTTTGATTGAATTGCTAAACTAATGTGTACATTCATGTAAATTTAATTCACCCATGTATTTTTTAAGAAGTTGACTAAATTATTAATCTATAGTTTGTAAAAATTCAAAAAAGCTATTTCTTTAGCTATCTATCTAGTTATTCCTCCAAAGGTGCAGGCATCTAAAATGGAATACCTTCTAAAGGGAGGAATACCTTTCTACCTCTAAGATGCTATGGCACTATAAAAAGCTTTTTCAAACTGAGCTAAATCAGAAGAATCAAAATAGTGCCTGATTTCCATTCATTCAACTCAACGTGATCATTATTTACTGAGCCTACCAAAAGCTTAGCACTGTGCTAACACTATTAATTTTCCTTTGAGTGTGATAGCCCTATTCTTATTTGTTGACCTAAATACCAATAAAGTGATAAAGACCAATAACTCTAAATAATATATGAAACTTTTAGGGTTCTTTAATGCTCACTGTTGTCTGTGAACTATAAGCTAATGTCTACAGGGAGGAGACTCCACTTCAATGCATTATTAAGAAATAAGATATGCATATCAGAGCACTACTAGTCTTGTTTAAATTAACAACTATAAGACTTCACTACATGAACAGGTTAATTTCTATTTCTCCTGTTTATCTCCTTTCCCACAGGAGCAAATACAGTGTCCTGCATCTGCTGGACACTATATAAATGATTTTAACTGCAAATGAACCAGACCTACACCAACCCTTAAGTTAGAACATGAGTTCCACCCAATTTTGTAAAATGAACAAATATTTGAAATAGTCAAGGATAAACATTAAATTGAAACTTCGTTAGAATGGTTAAAATTGCAATTCTACATATTAGAAAGTAGGACAGCAGCATTCAGACAAGTCTCTAACTAAAAGTGATTTTCTTACAACATAACTAAATGTATTTAAACACATAAAATCAGAGTGTAAAATGTGAAGCTCCCTTCTGAGTCAAACAAAATGACATCAGCCTTCTTGCTTTCAGTTTATGTGGCGGATTCATATCCATTCATTTTCTAAGTAGCTCTTGAACTAAAATAGCAACCTAAATGGTAACCTAAAAACCTAAGTGTGAGTCAAAGTTTGGATACGGTAACAGCCCAGTTAGAAGGAAGTCTAGAAATGACTACAGCTGAACCATTACAAAAATGGGAAAAAAGCAGTACTATGGATAACAAAGAGAAAATTAGCAACAGTTCCAAAACACCAAGAAAAACAAAAACCTTTGCCTTAGTATTTCTGAGGGAAAAATTCTAGCCAGAAAAATAAAATAGCATTTGGCCACCAGAGCCCTTTGAGGCTTTGAGACTGTTTCCAGATTTTAAAAAGAGGTATATTAAACCTCATATGCCCAAGTCGCTTAGTATTTATTCTCATTCAAAAGGGTGTGCCAATATAGTAGGAGCTATATTATGGGTTCTGACCTAGAGACAATCTATCTCTGAGCTATGGAAATACCGGCTTGACCATATTGGCAAGCTCAGGTCTAGGCTTGCCAGGCTACTTTCCTCATAAACTTTCAACTGAATGGAAACTTTATAGCAGGGAGAAGGCTGAACACATACTAGCACAGCTATATTCCAAAACAATACATTCACGAGAAGGACTAAATATGTAGATAATCCATTAACCAAAGCGAGGACATGGCCACCATCATCCCATCATTTAATTTCATCAAAACTTATCTGCTGACCTTCAGAATACTACTCTCCTGCCCTCTCAAAATGATCTGAGCACCTGGCTTGCAGTTTTCCTTTCCAGGCAAGTAGGTGTCACAGTGAGTAGAGCACTGGGACTGAAGTCAGGAAGATGCAAATTCATATCCTGCCTCAGACACCTCCTAGCTGTGTAACCACAGGCAAGACACTTAACCTCTGTCTCCTGCAAAATGTGGATGATAGCAATAGCACCTACCCCACTGGGTTATTGTAAGGATCAAATGAAATGATATTTGTAAAGCCTTTGTACAGTGCCTGGCACAAAGTAAGTATCTGATTAGTGCTTATTTCCCTTCTGCTTCCTTCCAACAGTACCATCACCCCTGGTGACTTCAATATTCACTACTGACAATCTCCTAATTCATCAACCTCATGTATACCCAATGATATACATCTTCATTCTACTTTAGCCATTCACAGGAATGGTCACATCCTTGACTTTGTCCTAACCCCAAACTCCACTTCCATCAATATTCTAATTGAGGAAACTCCTCTCTCTAATAATTTCCTTGCCTCCCACTTTCCCCACTGCCTCATTCCCTCTAAACATGGTACACAGTTGTCTGGTCTACTAGCAGGCCCAGTGGATAGGTTGCCAGGCCTGAAAACAGAAGGACTCATCTTCCTGAGTTCAGAAACAGTCTCAGACGCATACTAGCTGGGTGACCCTGGGCAAGTCACTTAACCCTGCCTCAGTCTCTCATCTGCAAAATGAGCTAGAGGAGGAAATAGCAAACCACTCCAATATCTTTGCCAGGAAAACCCCAAATGGGGTCAGGAAAAGTCAGACATTACTAAAAAACAACTGAACTGAACTACCATCCTCCCAGTCCCCTAGGCGTGCAACCAAGGTGTTATCTATCCTCCACTCCTCACTCTCTTTACAAGTAATGCGATGGGCAGCCATAAAACTAATGCAATCTTGAACTGCATTAAGAGGAGCAAAGCTTCTGAGAATAAGGAGACAGTAATCTCGCTATTCTATGCCATCATCAGAGCTCTTCCGGGGTTAGTTCTGTCTACCATCATTTAATAAGGACACTGATAAAGTGGAGCACGT